TTAGATTGGGCAGCCACCCTAGATGTGTCAGACCAGGTTGACTAGAGAAACAAATCCAGAGACACTCATACGTGTAGAAAAACGAGCTCTATGGCAAAGAGCAATTGAATATTGAGAAAACATCCCAGCCCAGTCCAGATCAAGTCCATAAGTCTGATATTAGCCCATATGACAGATACCAATCTATAAATTCTTCTTCAGACTCACGCAGCACATGCAATGATGCCAAATGTAGGAAGGGCACAGGCCAGTGGGTGGAACGTCTTGTGGATCCAGTGGCAGTGGAAGCATCTCCGGGGTTCTAGGTGCCATCAGCGTGGTTCCCTGTGGCTTGTCAACAGGAATGTGTAGCAGAGAGTGTGTCCTGCCTCTAGAGAGGTAGAGAAGCTGTGACCTGATTGATAGGCTAGACTCCACCTCTCCATTCTAGCTATCAAGTTGACATGAAATTGTGTTAACTACCACACTAGAGGACAGGGTAGAACTGCCGCTGAGGGTTTCCCACACTGTAACTCTTTCCAGGAGTAGAAAGCCTCATCTTTCCCCTGCAGGGTGACTGGTGGTTTGGAAGTGCTGACGTTGCAGTTTCCAGCCCCATCATCCTGACTACTTGACTCTGTTGCAGGTCAGAATCCACTCCAGGGCAACTAATGACAACAAAACCCAAATAAGTAGCCCCCAGATAAGTAGTGACTCAGCAGTATCTGTGGGACACACATATTGTGGGTGTGGGCTTGCACATACACACACACACACACACACACACACACACACAGCCTCAACAAAACACAGAACACCTGGGGTTTCTCACTCACTGCCATCCAGTCAATTCTGATTCATAGCGACCTGTAAGGTAGGATGGAACTGTCCCTGTGGGTTTCAAAGACTGGATTCCTTACAGGAGTAGAACGCCTTGTCTTTCTCCCAGGGAGCCACTGGTGGTTTTGAATTGCAGACCTTGTAATTTGCTGTTCAATGCATAATCCACTGCACCACCAGTGCTGCACCAGGGAGCTGGGAGCTATCCACGTATCTATCTATCTATCTATCTATCTATCTATCTATCTATCTATCTATCTATCCATCCATCCATCCATCTTCCTCCCTTCTCTTTTTTTAAACTACGGGAAAATTAAAGTGGCTCCCTCAAACTGGTAAAGCCAGCTTGCACTCATGAATAGAGTTCTCAGGACAAAAAAAGCATCAAGGGAAGGGCTTCAGTTAAGTTCTAAGGACTAGGAGACTCATATCTAACTTTTCTGCAACCGTGGGCAAGTTATTTCATTCCCATGAGCCTCATTGTACTCATCTGCAAAAATGGCTCCTTCAACATGATGTGGTGAAAGCGAATGACTGTGATCAAGCACTCTTACCCAGTTATTGTGTATAAAGGCTCCATAAGGTCATGAATTAATTATGAACAAAGGGACTGAGATGGAAGGAAACATAGGGAACCTCCTAAAAGAGCGGTAACATTGTTAGGGTGGCAAACCTGGAAGGAAGCCAACAGGGCAGCCAGCAGCATAGCATTAAGCCAGAAGGGGCCCAGTGGCAGCAACGCCAGCGGGGCCAAGAGGAGCATGTCCTGAGGGATCTCAAAGGAGACCTGCATGGCCAGGCGGAGTCCAGCAAGCTTCCTATACTGAAGAAGGGGGACTCTACCTGCATGCTTCCTGATCCTGAGTTATAGCCCATTGATCCTGATCTCACTTTGTACCCTGCTCCTTACTGAACCACTTAACTCTAAAAAACCAAACCAAACAAAAAAGAGACATCCCTGAGAACCCTCAGAGCAGACTCAAGCCCACCATACCTGAAGATCTGCATTGATTATCACAGTCCAACAACAAGCACAAGAATTTTCTTTTCTTCGTTTTAATGCCTGTTCCTGTGGCTATTTGAGTGCTGATACAGAAAATTGCATCGGATAGACTGCATCAACTCTACGTTTGTAGATGTTCTATTAAACATCTTTAAAATGTGTTTCTATAAAACATGTTTTGTAGGTGTTCAATATTTTCAACTATTAAGCTGTAGTAATTTATTGATTTTCATCCTAGTTTTACATATGATAAGAATTCAGACCTGCCAATTACAGGGTAAGACAAAAAAATGTAAGAAATATTTGGAAAAAAAATTAAGCATTAAGGGACTTCCAAGGTAAGGTGTATATGGATGGACCCATCCTGGCTAGTTGGTCTTGCCCTGAGTTAACAATCATAAGGTCATTGGTTCAAACCCACCAGTCATTCTGCAGCCTTTAAAATATGTAAAGGTTTGGAAACCCAGAGGGGCAGTTCTTCTCTGTTTTATAGTGCCACCATGAGTTTCCATCAGATGGCAGCGGGTTTTCCCGAGGTATGGGAAGCTGGGCAATATCTACTGAGAGGACAATTTGGATGCCACAAAGCCAGGACACAGCTTAAGAAGAGTGGGAAATTGAAAGGCACCTATATGGAAGGTGTGAGGGCCATTTACTATGTCGAATATGTAAGACTTCATAGCAATTTTCATCAATATTTTGAAGAACTAAATTTGTCTTCTTCAAATATTGCAATACACATTTCAGAACACATTTTAATATCTAAATGTCAATGGGTTATGCATGTTACATGTTTCAGCAATGAGGTTGACAGTGAGCTTCTTTCTGTGAAAATTTCTAACTTTTCTTTTAAGAGTTTCTGTGCACAGATGAGTAAGTGGTGCCATCTTATAACAAGAGTGGAACATTTTAAATTTCAGAAAGGCATACGAACTCGACAGACCCTTTTTGGGTTTCAGAACATTTGAATCTCATGGGGGCTTGGCACCAAACGTGCTACCAGCTAGTTCCTCGTTGTGACCCCTAGGGCAGGATGGAATGTCTCCTGTGGGTTTCTTAGGCTGTAATCTTTTCAGGAGCAGAAAACCTCATCTTTCATTTGCAGAGGGGCTGGTGGGCTTGTGGTTAACAGTCAAGCACATAAGCCACTCCATCATCGGGGCTCGTTATTTATTGTACAGTAACTCTTTCTTCTGGTCCCCTTTTAAGATTACAAATTAGAACTGCCTGCTAGTCAGTTCCTAAATACGGTGTCATGAGCAAATACTTGGAGAAAAGTCCAAGTTCATGTTCAAATACATCTTTGGACCACAGGAAACCATGTGAAGTCTAACCTGACATAAATATTTAGTACCACACAAACTACTTTAAAAAGAATCAGAGTGCATGTCCTCTCTCGCAGGCTAACTCATACTAGAGTAAAATATCCTGTGTGTTTATGGGCGAGCTGAGTGAAGAGTGGTGTGTGGCATGTGTTCTGAATCTCAGAAACGAGAGCCAATGGGGAAACGGCTGCCGTTATTGGTCTCACTGCTTTTATGAAATACAAACAGAATTTTAAAAATTACTTCAACACTTCCAGGGCTAAGAAACAAGAGCTCCTTGTCACACCCTTTTCTTCAGAAATTCTACCAGCCTCCTGGGTTAGTCTGGGTAGACTAGAGAAACAAATTCATTGACATGTTTATGTGTATAAGAAAAAGGTTTGTATACAAGAGCAATTGAATATTGAGAAAACATCCAAGCCCAGTCCAGATCAAGTCCATAAATCCAATATTAACCCACATGTCGATGATACCAATCTATAAAGGCCTCTTCAGACTCAAAAAATACATGCAATGATGCCGAATGCAGAAGGATCACAGGCCGGTGGGTTGGAAGTCTTGTGGATCCAGTGGCTTTGTAAGCATCTCAGCATTGACAGTGGCTTCTCGGGCTCCTGAGGTCTGGTTGCATCAGGGTAGGGCCATGTGGCTTCTCCAGTTCCCAGGACATAGTGCCATGTGTCTTGTCAGTAGAGCCCATGTGTCTTGTCAGTAGAGCGTCTCCCAGGGAGTAAGTAAAGAGAGAAAAGTATCTCCCTGCCTCCAAGGAGGAAAATATAGGAGTTCCCAGAATCTTCAGGGGAAGGCCATGCCCACACAGAGGCTACAATGGCTGTAACCCCATTGACAGACTAGGCTCCACCCCTTCACTCTTAATCCTCTCCAGTCCCAAATGGAGACCAGATTATGTAACTACCACACTGCCTAAAGAGCCCTGGTAGCGCAGCGGTTAAGTGCTTAATCTGCAACCTGAAAGGTCAATAGGTTCCAAACAGTTCCATGGGAGAAAGATGTGGCTTGTTCAGATTCAAACTCTATCTAACCCTACGACTCATAGCGACCCTATAGAACCCGGGTAGAACTGTCCCAGTGAGTTTCTTCTGCCCAACAGTTTCGAACTGCCGACCTCATGGTTGGCAGCCCCATGCGTAACCACCATGCCACCGCACACCTTTCTTCCAAGATCACAGCCTGGGAAACCCTGTGGGGGCCGTTCCCTGCCCTCCACAGTTCACTAATAGTTGGAATCCACTCCTAAGGAAATGAGATTGGTCTGGGGGCTTGGTTTGGACCTGACTCAGCACTTCGTGGACACACTTAGAGAAAGAAGCCAGACCTCGCAAGGAGTGGCCTCTTCTAAGGAGGTCAGTCCCTTGGGAACATTTCTCTCCATAAAGACTG